TCACATCTTGTGCGTTCTCTAAAGAATAAAAAAAAAGTAAAAGAACCCCTTTCCCCACCGTCAGGCGTATTGGGCGTATGGTGCTAGACCTAAATTTTACTGACCATTTGAAGATATGGTCAACATCACGTCGGCCGCCTTTATTTCCCAGGACTTTACCTGCCACCTATTTCATGCTGGCAAACCTGGGAGCAAATCATTTTTACCTGAATCAGCTGGAGAGAGTCTAGCCGCTACACTGCGGCGGCTCCCGTCCCTAAAGAGTAGCATATCCTTTACAGGACGTTGCTGAACCAACCCCAGCATTTTTTTTTTTTTTTTTGGGTTGCTGTTGTGGTTTTTCAAAGCAAATTGTACATTCAGTAGTTTGCCATTGCTTCTGAATGGTCAGCTGTCGATACCACTGTCCAAACCAGCGCAAGATAAACCGTTCGCAACTGGGATCAAACCTAGCACCTCAGCATTACGAAGCGCGTATGCAACGCCTAAGCCACAGAAAGGGTAAAAGTAAAAAAAGTAAAGATCCCTTTCACGCCTTTAGGCGTATCGGGCATATGGGAAGAGCGCCCATATTTTTACAGACCATCAGCATTCGGTAGGTAATGTGGTCAGCATTACGCCGGCTGTCTTTACTTTCACAGGACAGCCCATCCTGGTACCCATTTGAGGCTGGGTCGACCTGCGACGTCCCATACCACGATAAAAATCCCCGCAGCCCGCAGTGTGTTTCGATCGCGGTACGTTGCATTACGAGTCTGACTCGCAACGCCTTAGCCACGGACGCCGCTCACGCTTTGACCCCATTTGTTTCTAACAGTTATAACTCCCATTCACTCTAGACCCATTATTTCTTTAACTCTTGTAACCTTCTTATTGTATCCCCTCCAGGCTGGTAGCTCAAGGTCTAACCACCTAGATTACACATCGCTCAAGACTTAGAAGATACAGAGTTAATTGACTTGGTAAGTGTAATGCACTGTATTTTCCGCAGTTGTGGTAGTGATACTTCTAAGCTACAGCCCCAGTGCTTCTGTTACTACTGACCCACTTACTGACTTCTAGATTCACATCTCAAAACAAAATAAAACACAGCAAAGACCTTTACCACTCTCATACTCCTAGACGCATATCTCGGAACACACTGAAACATCACAAAGACCCGCTCTGTGCTGCTTCTAGTGATCTAGTCTACATATGCTAACACATATATGTACATATTTAAACTAGATATTGTGTGACTGTCTTAGTCATCTGCTGTGCAGGGCACTGACGTGCCTAAACCCAGTTAGTCCCTCCCCCAAATAATCTAAACCAACAATCTAAAATGTACCATATAATTTTTATGTCTGGTAAAACTGGTCATGAAATCAACTGGCAGTCAAATCTCCTAAGAGTCTTCTTCCTTTTCTTTATTTTCCCAGTTTGCTAAATATATTGTGGTTTATGGCTAGGGTGAGATATCTGTGCCACCAAAACCTCTAATTACTCATCTTTTTTTACATGTTTATTGTAGGAATGAGACGGTGATGATGGGGGGAAGAGGGGGGCGAGGAGGAGGAGGGCAATGAGTCTGTTCTGGTTTTTTTTTCCTTCCAAAATGGGACCAGGAACCACAGAAACAATCCAATAATACCAGAACATAGTATATGTGCTGGCCATTATGTCTACCTTCATGGTGTTCAAAATGGCATCTCTTCTTCTTAACTTCCCCATTTACCGCTTTGGGTGTTGAAGGAGATATAAAGTTGTTCTGCTTCTTGCTTTTCTGGTCGTCTCGACCACAGACATATCGTGCTGTTGTAGTTTCTCTGACTGAAAAAAAAATGTAGGGGATTGTTAAGACCGAGTGAAGTATACTGTGGCCTTGCACCATAGGGTTGCTTCCATGGCCAGGAAATCCATACTGGGTCACTGAAACTTCCCAGCCAATGGGGCTCTGGTGAACAAACTGGCAATAAATGTATTATTGCTACAGAGAATGCAGTGAGACATAAAGGTTCAAAGTGTAATTAATGAAAAAGAAAGTACAAACGGTCAATACTGTCTGTTTTACCACTTTTTAGGGCGGTGTAGACAGAGGGATCTTGAGCCTGAGGATTTATGGCCACCTGGCTAGTGCTGTCGCCACGGACTGTGCAGATTAGGATGTTTAATTTTGCCACCGACATAAAAACTCCATCATCTTACCAGGAGTCGAACTTGGGTCTCAGAAACTACAAACACTGAAGTAAACTGTTTCAGAAAAGTAGACCAATTGACCAGTCAATGAGTAGTGGGGACTATATAATATTGGCTGCCTTTACTATCCATAACATTTTCTGGAACTCATTCAGCTTGAGTTGACCTCAGGGGCCGGGTAATTTGAGAAAAAAAATATCGCCACCTCGAGTGAACACGTGACAACTGAGTCAGTAGGCAAGCAATACAGTGTGAAAGAAGATTTTATAATTAAAAGGTATCTGTAACTGGGATTGCTCGTAAGTCAATACTAATGCAGTCATTATTAAATAGTAAGTCTTTAAGTGTAGTAGATTGTACAATAATGTAGTAGGTCTTTACAGTGGAGTAGATTGTACAATAATGTAGTAGGTCTTTACAGTGGAGTAGATTGTACAATAATGTAGTAGGTCTTTACAGTGGAGTAGATTGTACAATAATGTAGTAGGTCTTTACAGTGGAGTAGATTGTACAGTAATGTAGTATGTCTTTACAGTGGAGTAGATTGTACAATAATGTAGTAGGTCTTTACAGTGGAGTAGATTGTACAATAATGTAGTAGATCTTTACAGTGGAGTAGATTGTACAATAATGTAGTAGGTCTTTACAGTGGAGTAGATTGTACAATAATGTAGTAGGTCTTTACAGTGGAGTAGATTGTACAATAATGTAGTAGGTCTTTACAGTGTAGTAGATTGTACAATAATGTAGTAGGTCTTTACAGTGGAGTAGATTGTACAATAATGTAGTAGGTCTTCAAGTGTAGTAGATTGTACAATAATGTAGTAGGTCTTTACAGTGGAGTAGATTGTACAATAATGTAGTAGGTCTTTACAGTGGAGTAGATTGTACAATAATGTAGTAGGTCTTTACAGTGGAGTAGATTGTACAGTAATGTAGTATGTCTTTACAGTGGAATAGATTGTACAATAATGTAGTAGGTCTTTACAGTGGAGTAGATTGTACAATAATGTAGTAGGTCTTTACAGTGGAGTAGATTGTACAATAATGTAGTAGGTCTTTACAGTGGAGTAGATTGTACAGTAATGTAGTATGTCTTTACAGTGGAGTAGATTGTACAATAATGTAGTAGGTCTTTACAGTGGAGTAGATTGTACAGTAATGTAGTATGTCTTTACAGTGGAATAGATTGTACAGTAATGTAGTATGTCTTTGCAGTGGAGTAGATTGTACAATAATGTAGTAGGTCTTTGCAGTGGAGTAGATTGTACAATATTGTAGTAGGTCTTTACAGTGGAGTAAATTGTACAGTAATGTAGTAGGTCTTTACAGTGGAGTAGATTGTACAGTAATGTAGTAGGTCTTTACAGTGGAATAGATTGTACAGTAATGTAGTAGGTCTTTACAGTGGAATAGATTGTACAGTAATGTAGTAGGTCTTTACAGTGGAATAGATTGTACAGTAATGTAGTAGGTCTTTACAGTGGAATAGATTGTACAGTAATGTAGTAGGTCTTTACAGTGGAGTAGATTGTACAGTAATGTAGTAGGTCTTTACAGTGGAATAGATTGTACAGTAATGTAGTAGGTCTTTACAGTGGAATAGATTGTACAGTAATGTAGTAGGTCTTTACAGTGGAGTAGATTGTACAGTAATGTAGTAGGTCTTTACAGTGGAATAGATTGTACAGTAATGTAGTAGGTCTTTACAGTGGAGTAGATTGTACAATAATGTAGTAGGTCTTTACAGTGGAGTAGATTGTACAATAATGTAGTAGGTCTTTACAGTGGAGTAGATTGTACAATAATGTAGTAGATCTTTACAGTGGAGTAAATTGTACAATAATGTTTACAGCAGAGGAGAGGAAGATCTTCTCATAACAAAAGTCATCAGTACTGGATGGCAAGCAAACAAATCACAATGGGACAAAAGCGGACATACAGTACTGGACATAAATGGACAAGCGTGCATTTGCTTAGCAACCATGTGAGACTTTCACAATGATTTCCAGGTAAATAAGAAAAATATTAGGTATCCCTCAACTATGTTAGTCTTTTACAAAGATTTCAACAAAATGCATCCTTTGGATATTTTTTCCAGGTATGCTGGTGTGTTAGGAAACAAGTATGAAGATAGACTGGCCAGTTCTGCACCACTTGGTGGTGGATGTTGTCAGAGCCCTTTGTGAGTGGGTGCATAGTGTGGAGACACAAATAGATCATTATGGGCTGAGGAAAATGGCGCTGCAGGAGTTACTAGGGAATTCCCACCACCCCCCTCCCCCCTAACGCTCAACACTCAAGGAAAAGGCGACATAGATATACAGTCAGGCGTCACCTCCCCCTAGCGCTTATGTGAGTGTCTCAAGTGCTGTGTTGTCAATTCTTAATTCAGCATTTAACATTCAAAGATTTCCAGTTCAGTGGGAAAGAAAATCTGTTCATTATGAAGTAATCATTACTAGACACAAGTGGACAAACCAGGACTGAACACAAGTACACAAACCAGTACTAGACACAAAAAGACAAGATTTCGTCAAGAATCTTAACCAAGATCTCCTTTCAAGTGACAAGATCTCCTTTCAAGTGACAAGATCTCCTTTCAAGTGACAAGATCTCCTTTCAAGTGACAAGATCTCCTTTCAAGTGACAAGATCTCCTTTCAAGTGACAAGATCTCCTTTCAAGTGACAAGATCTCTTTTCAAGTGACAAGATCTCCTTTCAAATGACAAGATCTCCTTTCAAGTGACAAGATCTCCTTTCAAGTGACAAGATCTCCTTTCAAGTGACAAGATCTCCTTTCAAGTGAGAACGAGAACCATTACTGTAGAGTATCCAGTGCTGCATTAAACCTCAGAATGTCAATGAGGGTCATCCCAAACTGCCTCTCTAATATGCTGTAGAAGTATTCTGGTGTCTGCAAAGAAATAGACAAACAAAAGAAATTAAAAGCAATGTCCCCAATTGTACATTTAAATAAAGAAGAGAAAAACAAAAATGGCACAATTCATAGACTGGCTTATTTCACTGACTATCATCAGGTGCATACTGAGTGTCGCTGCATTTGTATTTCACTTATAATAATGTATTTATTTACTTCATTGCATTCAGTTGTTACTGCAGTATGTAGATATCACAATCTTGCTGTAAGCTATAACATGGCGTGTCATTTATGGACAAACACAAAGGAAAGAAAAGAATTTCTAAAAGTATGTTCTATTTATGCTAAAGCAAAAGCAATTGTCTGTGTGGTGTGTGTGAGTGTGTGCATGCGTACCTGTGTGCACGTACATGTGTTCGTTGTAGCATAAGTGTGTGTGTGTGTTTTTTGAAGTTTCCAATTTGTATGCTGCTATGTGAGATTGAGGAGCGACTGGCTGAATGGTTAGAACACTCGGCTCTCAAGCGAGAGACCGGGGTTCGAATGCTCGGTAAGATTGGGGATTTTTTCTATCAGGGCCAAAATAAAATCCTCACCTGCACAGTCGTGGCAACAGCACTAACCATGACGTATAACAAAGGCAGTAATTGGCAGTTTATGTGAAGTTATGTTATCATCATCGAGTCTACTGCATATTGGGCATTCTGGAATTAGTGTCTCCTATCTGGACCTTGAAGGCAGCGTACACATATTATACCTTGCTTTACTCCCATGTCACACAATCGTGTTAGCGTCAGAGATTCGTCAGCACCCGCTAACCTAGTATGTTCACTATGATGGCAAACATCAGTGCCTGAGGACCATGCAGTTATGCTGTTGGTTTTGTGAACACCGTTGGTGCTTCATTAATATTCTACCCCAAACAGGGGATATTCCCAGGTCACAGGCCAGTCTAATATTTCAGGGGGTGGTAGATAGGCTGCATGCAGTCGTGGGACCTAGGCTCGTGCTACGTAGGTGGGTTGGTGTTAGAGCCAGTTCTATATGTTTTGGGGTAGCATCAGAAAGCAAGGAAACCCAGTCTTACCAAATTCTAGAATGTTGGACTGCCGTATGACGTCATCTGGGGGTAGGAGATTAATAAAGCACCACAGCGTCTGCTGTGACTGTAAAGTTCAATAGGGGAAAGTGTTAGTCTCTATCACATAGCCCACGTAAAAACGTTGATACGCTGTTGTTCTGAAGCTGGTTCTCTATAGCTTGCTTCATTTGGTGTCTTTCAAACAGTGACAGTTTCTTTCACGGTCTGCCTCCAAATCAGTTGGTATGCAGCTGATCTCTCCCTAGTGTGTGTGCCAATGTTGATATCTTTTAGATCACATCTGCATGTCCTTATAACATGGTCATGGCCTTTCTGTAAGTCTTATCCCTGTTACCAGTTTATCATACTGGAGATCTTTTGTCCTCCATGTGAGAGACATGTCCCAACCAACGCAGACATTTTTGCTTCAATTTTGAGTATACATTCCTTGGGGACAAAGTCTCACCATGATATACCAAGAATGTGTCTCATACAGCGCATGTAGAAAGTATTAAATTTTTTTTCTTGCGGAGCATGCTCAGTCCAAGTACCAGAAGCATTAATGATATCTGCTCTGACCACGTTTCTTCCTACATGTGTTGTTGCACGTCTGTATATGTATTAGGCATCTTTGTAGCAACATGGCTAAGCCATCTGCCTCATGCACAGAAGGTCATTGGTTTGTTTTACGGTCTGGCTGCACAGTTCAGTTCATAGGTGCACTTTCCCCGAAGAGGAGATCCTCAGTGGCTGTAGTGCTACAGGATGTGGTCAGGTGGCTGGTTGGAAAAAGATCAAGCTAATGATATAAAATCGTGTACAGTGAAGCCAATCCTCTCAATTGAAACTTGACACATTATACTATGTTAATGTACAAATTCTCTATAAGTCACCTCCACTGTTTTGAGTTGCTGTAGTAAACCTCTGACGGAGCCCATTCATCATCATTTCAGTTTTCTTCCAGCTCAACCTTCAGAGCAACATCAGATGGAGGCACACTGATGTAGCTTCTTGTTGCTGGAATCTCATTATTGATTCCCGCTGACAGGCAAATATTAATAAAACTGACCATTTCAGGCAGACAGACTGGCTGGCTCGGCACAACTTGGTGGAATACGGATGCATGATAAGGCAGTCGTGGTTTGTGCCTTGTGGGAGAGCGTGTGCAGTTTGGAGGAGCAGATGGATCACCACAGTCTGGTGAGATTGATGCAGCGGGGAGTGACGAGAGGTTCTGGCAGATACTGGAGGCTCAGAGGAAAGGCAAGAAGAACGTTTAATGAGAATACTACTGGCACCGTTAGTATCGGAACTCTTCACTGGCCGCTAAAAATGGGGACGCAGTGCTTATGAGAATGCCCCGAGTGCTGTGATATCGGTTCTTGAATCAACTCAACTCAGCTCAACCGTTTTATTGAGAACCTCTTTAGTTCCATGCAGTTTTAAGTGTGGGTTTGGCACAGTCGGTCAGTATTTCCATCTTAACGGGCTGTACCATGGACAGTCTTGCAGGATATGTTCAGTGGTTTTTATTAACATCCCACATGGGGACAGTGATGAACTACTTATATGAAACTGATTAAACCTCATTTTCACAAGATACCAGAACTAAATATTTTAGACATCTACAACCAGTAGAGTTGTACTCACAGTTTCTCTTAGTCTCTTGAGTTGCCATATAAGCTGACCATCAATCTGAGAAAATGCTGATGTCAACCTGTAGTAATTTTTTTTTAAATATAAACTCAATCGATATCTGAATATTTATTAACTGGAATTGAGATAATGCACTTTGAAATTTTTCCGACTTTTTTGTACTGAATAGTGTGGTATTTTCATAAATAATATCCTGTTCAACCTTCAGGATAACAATTAATAACAATGCATACATTAAGCGTTAACTGTTTACAAAAAAAGTATATAGTTTAAAAGTGAATATGAGCAAACAAATTAAAAAGAGTCTGGAGGCAAATGAGATGTGATTCTTGAAAAGAATGTTACGAATACCTTGGACTGCCAGCATAACTAACAATGTTTGATGAAAATGGCTAATGAAAGTAGAACATTAAATAAAACAATAAGAAGGAGACAAACAAAGTTCTTTGGTCATGTGATGAGAAAGGGAGAACTGGGAAATATTGTGACGACTGGAAAGATCACTGGTAGAAGAGGCAGAGGCCGCCAAAGAGAAATGATGGTAAATGCTTAAGACAGTGGCATGGAGAAATATCATCAGTGGAATTGATCCAAAACATCAAGGACCAAGATCTGTGGAGTTGCTTTGTTGTCTATGCCAGCTGACAAGGCACTTGATAATGATGATAATGAGGATACATTAAAATAACAATATCCCAAAAATAATTTACAATAAAATGGACACCATCTAGCACCCATTCAGGTAGGTGGGGTAATAAGCAAGCTGATAAACTGGCTGCTGCCGCTTCTCTGGGTGGTGAGCTACTATATTATAAGAGGGATGTAATCATGGCTAACTGGGATGAAGGTGACAGTGTAACAGACAGAGTATCCGACACCTTGAATGACTAATTCAGCAGGTGGTGAGCATAGGTTCTGAAAGATATGAAAAGTTGAGGGGGAAACACTGGTAGACTTTTAATCAAGATGCAGCTAGTACCATTATCATAATGGCTCTTTGTTGGCCACCTGAGAAACAGAGTAAGTGTGGGAACGTCCAGAATGCAGGGATGTCACTTTTTGATTGATTTATTTGTTCATTTTCATCCTCACTTCCCCATGTAGGTTTTGGGGACCCATTTAGGAGGGTGGACGGGGATAGACCCGCTGCCTCCCCAAGATGTATCTTGTAAGAGGTGACTTATAAAGGGTGTTTCCTTAAAAGCTTCACTGCATCTGTCTGCACAGATAAGCCAGATTTTTAAAACAGATGTGCATGCAAGTTCTGGAACAAGACTGTCAGAGTCTAGTGCAGCTATGTGATGAAGAGAATGACAGGAGTGAATCTTCACCTGTGTACTGACTGACCGATACATGATCCAGAGTTCAGCCTGACAAACAGAAGACTGTATAATGCATGACGATTTGAGCTGTTCACGCAGGAGATTTTGTGAGTACCCCAAGAAGTGGACAGAAATAAGCAAAGAACTTTCCATCAGAGTTTAACAGTCGGTGAACACAAAGAAAAAATCATCATCATTGAGTAGACTCTCCTATATAGAACTCTCCCATAATTTCTTTCTGAGGTAAGCCACATGTACAGGAATGTTGAATTAAGAATCAACATCACAGAAGTTGGAACACCCCCATAAGCGCTCTGTCTCCATCTTCAGCAGCAAGCGAAGAGTTTAAATTCTGATGGTACCAGTAACTGTCTCGCCTTTACCCTGAGTGTTGAGCATCGGCCACATCCCCTTGTAACTCCTCGTAGTGCCATTCTCCTCAGACCGTAATGATCTATCTGTGCCTTGGTACTGTTCACTAGCTCCCAAAGGGCCCTCACAACATCCAGCATGTCATATATCATTTCACTACCAAGTGGTGCAGAACCAGGCAGTCTATCTGCTTGCTCGTTTTCTAACACAACGGCATAACCTGGAGAAAATATCCACAGGGACCTTTAAAGTGATGCTTGTCACTCTGCACAGAGCATGCCTGTCTCGACCTTTCTCAACATGCTCTGTGAGTCAGTTACGATGACGGCATGTGTGTACAGCTGATTTTCAAGCCAACTGAAGTCTGCAGTGACTGCCTCCACCTTCATTCTCAAACTAGACATTGTCATATCATATGCCAGGCTTTGTTGCACCAAGCGACGTCCAATCGCCTTCGCTATGAACCCCCATGTACTTCGTCTGCCCCTCAACACAGAGCAGATAAATGCAAGAATAAAAGAAGAAAGAATCAGAAGAAGAAGAAATTATAACCCAAACAATTTCTTGACCACTACACCTGTGCAAGCCTTTTGATTCTAGCCAGTTTTCCACATGTTCATTGCTCATAGAGGTCAGGAATGCATTGCCGTTGTTACTGAGTGGCAGTGATGAAGAACTGGTGGTCGATGATGTACTTCTGACGCTTGTAAAAGTTGCCAGGTTGGCACTCCGGGAGGCACCAGTGTCATCTGTATTGCATAAATGTTCACAGCATTACCAGGGAGTTAAAAAAAATTAATAGTGTATAACAAATGTCTTAAAAGAAAAAGTATTAGAAGAAATTTTTTTTTAACATTGTTGAGGCAACACGCATAAAGTACTAGACCAGGGATTTTTTCTTATGGTATACAGCACTTCTACCTGTACGTATGCATCATATTTTTATTTTTAGCACTACTGTAAAAGCCACTTGAAATGAGTACTGGAACGTTTTTATATGCCTTCTGAAGATTTTCTGATGACAGTAACTTTTTTTTCCAAGAAAAAAGCCTTGAATAGACCTATGTTTGTATAGACCACTTGGCAGTTCATTTGTGATGTGGTAATATCCACCAGTCACTTTTACTTCCCATGATATTCCTTGGTGTTTGTTTTAACCTGGGTCTAGCAGCAAGTTTTTTTTTTTTTTTTTTTTTTCGTCCACCTCAAGGCAGATTTGAACTCTAGACTTTTGGGCTGGTCAATGATCATCTAGCCACTAAATAAAATAAGTCTAGTGAAAGATTCTGTTCCATGCCTTTAGACATATTGGGCATACAGGGCTGTACCTATAGTTTATAGACTGATTGGCACACCCTGGGGGATGTGGTAAACATCACACTCGTTTCCTTTACTTCCAGGACTTTACCTGTACACATTTAAGGCTAGATTGACCTAGAAGCAAAGGTAATATTTGGGGGGGGGGGGGGGGGGGAGGAGGAAGTATGGCTCTGTCAGGATCTTCTTCTCCTTCTGCATTCACCCCAAGTTGTAATTGTGTGGTGCCCGCTTACAGCATGGCTGCAATATTTGTGCCAACTGGCCGACACATCCAGCTTCTGTAGGCATTTGTTGACCGGGTTAGATGTCCCAGCTTCAGGATCTGAACTGACGACCTTTGAATTTGCAGGTGAGTGAAGAAGAAGAAGAAGAAGAAGAAGAAGAAGAAGAAGAAGAAGAAGAAGAAGAAAAGGAAGAAGAAGAAGAAGAAGAAAAAGAAAAAGAAGAAGAAGATTAAGAAGAAGTAGAAGAAGAAGAAGAATGAAGGAGCAGGCTGGAAGCCATATGTGATATATAGCAACATGAAGATGACTGACCGACATAGATGGACATACTGACCAAAAGATTTGGGTTGATTCACTACTGAAGTCTGTGAAGATACCACACAGCCTCTCATCTCTTTTAACAAAACCTGAAGGGAAAATCGTGTACCTTAAAAAATTACATTTGTATAGCTATGCATAAACTATATAAAATGTAACATTCAATCTCTGTGCATTATTCAACCCTCGTGTGGGTTCAGGGGTCCTATTGTGGAGGAAGGGGGAATAGACCCACTGCTCCCCAACAAGCATGTCATAAGAGTCTACTAATTAGTGATGTTTCATGTGTTGAGTTGAGCTAAGTCAAAAATTGACATCACAGCACTCAGGGCATTCTCATGCATGCTCTGTCCTCGTCGTTCAGCAGCCAGCGCAGAGTTTTAATACTAATTTTACTGGTCACAATCTGGTTATATGTCCGTCTTGCCTTTTCTCTGAGTGTAGTAAGCCGGCCAGACCCTCTGGTTACACCCAGGTGCCTCATTCTCTCCAGGCCATAATAATGTTTCCTTTGAAGTCAAAGTGCATCTACGTGAGACGCAGGTAACCAAACAGTACGTAAAGAAATAAGTCAGATTTGTAAAATAGATGAAAGACTAAGCTTCAAATGTGGATGAACAACCAAAACTGTCAACCACAGTTTACAGCGGAGAATGCCAAGAATCATTAAAAAGAAGAAAAACCACTAAACAAGCAGTGAAAAGGAAAAACCAACAGATTAAGGAAATGAGTATGTCTAAGAGAAACCATGAAACTAATGCTTTTGTTAAAGACCAAAAGTGTTGAAAAGACTACACAGGACAGAATAGAGGACTTTACTGCAAGCCTTATGCGATGTATACTGCAAAACAGGAAGATGATGATGATGAAACAAACACTGCAGTTTTTAATTCTTTGGATCCCAGGCAGTTTTTATTTCAACACTGCCCACCCCAAAAGTGTGTGTGTGCTACAACAATACAGCTATCAGAAAAGAAGGGGTGAACAGAGAAGCTGAGATGATTGAGAGTGAAGAAAGTTGAGACAGTATAGAGAAAGATGAGAGTCTAGAACTAAGTTCAGACAAATAAGAAGATGAAAGGTATTACAGAGGTCTTCAAATAGGGAAAATGATTGGTGAGCTTGGCTATCTATTTTCTCTAACATGATCTTAAAAATCGCTCTCTCATAACTGAGATAAGTTGAGTTAAGGCCAAACAGGAATGGAACAGAATAACATGTGCGGACAGGATAATATTTCAATTACAATAATTTCCGACAAAATAAATGATAGTATGATATAAACAATAGCAGAAGAATGTACCAAAAAATACAGTGAATGTTATACATTATATTAAACTCCTGGAGGTTGAATATTATTAAGAGGAAGTTTACAACTGATAACGCATAAATTGTCTCTAGCTTCAATCTGCTGAAATATTTGAACTTTTGAAGCCCCTAAAGATCAACACTAATGTCTTAAAAAACACTGACAATATCTAATGACTTAAAAACCGTGAAAATATCTACTGACTTAAAACACTGACAATATCTAATGACTTGAAAACCCTGACAATGTTTAATGGCTTAAAAACCCTGACAATTTCTAATGACTTAAAAACCCTGAAAATATCTAATGACTTAAAACACTGACAATATCTAATGACTTAAAACACTGACAATATCTAATGACTTAAAAACCCTGACAATATCTCATGACTTAAAACACTGACAATATCTAATGACTTAAAAACCCTGACAATATCTAATGACTTAAAAACACTGAGAGTGTCTAATGACTTAAAAACACTGACAATATCTAATGACTCAATAACACTGACAATATCTAATGACTTAAAAACACTGACAATATCTAATGACTCAATAACACTGACAATATCTAATGACTTAAAAACACTTACAATATCTAATGACTCAATAACACTGACAATATCTAATGACTTAAAAACACTGACAATATCTAATGACTTAAAACACTGACAATATCTAATGACTCAAAAACATTGACAATATCTAATGACTTAAAAACACTGACAATGTCTAATGACTTCTTTTTCTTCTTCTGCGTTCAACATTAGCGATGCTAAACATTGAGTCCCGTCTGGGTCACAAATAGGATTGCGCGTTTAAGGTCGCCACCGGTCCCCCATAGCTTCTCTTGCAATGTGGCTCCCTTGGGCCAGATCCACAGTCTTTGCTGGGAGAGGTTAGGTCAGTACTGCAGTATGTGCTCAGGGGTCTGTCTTTCTGCTCCACAATCACAGGCAGCAGATTCATTTATGCCTATCCTGTACAAGTGTGCTCGAAGACCACAATGTCCTGTCCGAAGTCTAAAAAGTCTAATGACTTAAAAACACTGACAATATCTAATGACTTAAAAACACTGTCAATATCTAATGACTTAAAAACACTGACAATATCTAATGACTTAAAAACACTGACAATATCTAATGACTTAAAAACACTGACAATATCTAATGACTTAAAAACACTGACAATATCTAATGACTTAAAAACACTGACAATATCTAACAACCTGTACTGATTTCTCATAAAGATATTTGCCACTGAAATCAATATAAGTCTTGGATCCCACCAGGACATGAAGCCATCCATCTGGGAGATACTGTTTCTGCATCAAGAGGAGAATAATATCTTTCCTCTGGTGAAATATGAACTCGGCCTCTGAAATAAATGCAAACATAACTGCATTAAAATTTAAACAAACAGTCACAAAAACATTCTAAATTATCACTATTTGGCTTGCTGGACAGTATACTGATGGTGCCAGTTGCAACCTGATTACACATTTGCCCCCTTTTATTTTGCACATAGAAAATTATCCTAACCATCTTTTCACTCCCATATGAATCATGTCCAGATATAGAGATAAATTTTTAAAATCCTATCAGAGCAACAAGGCAGGCTTGCTGTTGTATCTCTGTTAAGTATAATGGAGGATAATGTTTTGAATCTGAGGCTGTGAAAGTTACAATAGGCAGCCTGTAGGGAAAAAAACTAGTTGTTCAACATTTTTATACTTTTTTTCCTCATGAGAGTTCCCAGGGTCTCATTTTGGGGAAGAGGGAATAGACTCAATGCCACTTAACAAGCTTGCAATAAAAGCTGACTAATTAAGGGTCTGCTCAGTGGGACCAGAAGGACAGATATTGCAACCTAGTAAACAGGGCCAACAATTCTTTTAACTCTTTGAGTCCCAAGGAACGCATCATACGTTCATAGGTTACTGCCTAGAAGCCCAATGAACGCATGATGCGCCGATTTTACGTCTCTTTTGACAACCCTTTGGTCCTGTGATGCTAAACCCTCTGGGACTCAAAGAGTTAAGGGGCTCACAAAGAAGACATATTCTTATAAAGAAGTATTTAGAAAACTGAAGTACATCATGATGGTGGGAAAGTTGGAGGGGAAAAGAGACAGAGAGAGAAGATGCTGGATGGTTTGACATCATGGCATAAAAGAACATCTGTATCAGAACTGATTGAAAGTATATGAGACAAAAGGTTGTAGATAAACATGACTACCAACGCCACATGGCTTGAATTATATGAAGAACAAGAAGAAAAAAAGAAAGAAATGTGTAAACAGATTACAAATATACACTATTCTCCTTAGCCTCAAAGAAGGGGGAAAACCTCACCTGTACGACATGCAGAGCTCTGCATGTACCTCTCAGACATACAAATCAACACAACAGCAGAGCTGGCAGCTGCCTCCACCATTGCCTGTAGTGTAGATCCTCCAGTCTGATCCCAGTCCACCCAGAGCTTGTAACCTTCAGCCTGAAGATGACACATTCATTCAGCAAATTCACAATCTTGATTTCTCTCAGCATTTGCCATAAAAATACACAAACAACAAAAACACAAATAATTTTTTTTTTAAATGTCTTCATAAAGTCACTAGAGCTATTTGAGATCAATCATAAGATCATCATAACTACTGCCGCTGTCAAGCCTGCATGAGAAAAGAGGAGGGGTGTGTGTGAGGCAAGCTCCGCCTTCTTTTTCTACATCTTCTTTTTCACTTCCTCTTTTTTTTTTAACCACCTCGGGTGTCAGTATAAGGTTCAACTTCCCCCACTCTGTAAAAATTGCTTTGATACAGAAACCTGCATAACAGTAAGCTACTCCAGCAAACTAACCACAATATGAATTTTTTTTTGTTCCATGACTGAGCTCAACTGGTGAAAATCTAGTATCCAGGTGCACTCACATCCTGAGGTTCTAGTGTATAAGGGCTGCTGACCGAAGCCACTCTGTTGAAGTCAGTAGCCAGATATGCCAATGCGCAATAATCGTCTAAAAAAAAAAGCCCTAGGATAGATTTTGGGAATATTAGAACTATGGTACTGGACTGGAGTCTACACATGAGATTTAATGTATTGTACCGGATATAACAGAATAGAGAAATAGCCTAAAAACCCTGCATGACATACAATGGAATAACATGATGATGATGATGATAGTGGTGATGATGATGATGACGATGATGATAAATCATAACAACAAATGGAAGATTCATGACAGAGGTTTAAAGCCAGAAAGAGCAAGCAAAAGCTGTATTTCAGAATATTAAAAGCATTTTATTAAATTAATTACTATTACTAATACAAATATTCTTCCATTCTGTATACCAAAGGTTTAAAATTATCTTAAACAATATATGACAACAGTCAAGCCAGAATAACAAAGTGTTAGATGAGCAAGCATGCCATGTTCTTAATCCTTTGAAAATAGTTCCTTCATTCTCTTGAATTCTCTCGTCCCTTTTCGGCTACAACTTTTCTAAAAACAGGGATGACTGTAGTCAAGCTAATACAAAGACATTAATTTGCCTTCTAGTCACAATATATTTTCATGTTCTCATTCTAATGACATACTCACAGTATATGGATTATCTCCTTCTGATGATCAATTTTCTTTGTAAATTAATTTCTCTACGGATATCTTCATTACATTTTCTTTTTAATCTATCCATAGCATCATAACACTAAAAGAAATATTTTACTAACAGAACAGAAAATGAGAGCACCAACTCACAGTTAAACTGGAACTCAGCTGTTTGACCTGATCTCTCTCATTCAGAGAAAAACTGATGAAAACTTGTTTCTTTGACTTGGGAATATTCTGCAAACCTGAACAAATCAATAAAACTAATCAATTCAATTTTATTTATTGCTGCTATAGTCTGCAGTTATGATGGGACTCTTGCTTTGAGAAAAGTAGACTAAATTCATTGTCTTGGAAAAATGAATTTTTTTCTCTTTTTTTTCTTCTTTTTTTTTTTCTTTCTCTTCTTCTTCTTTTTCTTCTTCTTTTTCTTCTTCTTCTTTTTCTTCTTCTTCTTTTTCGAGTTGACAATGTCCGAGTCTGACATTGGCAACCTAAAGTCGATATAAGTATTGTATTTATAATCTGTCTTTTTGTCTCTATTGGGATAGCAGGGTGTTTTAAAATTGTGACATTGTTGGCTTGCTGGATTCTCATTTCAATATCTCTGTCTGTGTTACCATTGTGCATAAAAATGATTCCCAAGTATTTAAATGCTTGCAATTTTTTTATTTATTAGTCTTTTAGGACTAAGACATTTCTGGGGCTTAGGATCTTTTGAACACTGTTCTGGAAACTGGTTAGAGAGGTAAGGCAGCAGAGAAGGAAACATGTTTTATTATTCATTATTTAGTTAATTAACTTTGCTATAAAATTCCAATAACTATAATCTATCACTAAACTTCTGCTCTCCTTCTTCTTCACGTTCACTAGCTGTAAACTCTGGTGGAAAGCTCTGGTTGTTCATCCATCTCTGGACTGCAGTCCTGTTCCAGAACTTTAGTGTAGCTTGTGGTTCCTTTTTACAGATCTGACTCATTTGTATGCAGACTGCTGGTTCCTTGTCTCTCAGGCAGATGCATTCCGACTTTGAAAGAAGCTCAAAATTAGTTGGCTCTTACGACATGCTTTTGGGTAGGCAGTGAGTCTATTCTTGTTTTCCCTATAATAGGTCCCCGGAACTTACACGGGGAAGAACTTCTGGTCTGTTACCATCTGTTAAACTGGGAATATTTAACTAATCACAGCCAAGATCTTCTTCTTCTTTTGTCGTCTTGCTGATACCAGGTTGTAGCCCAGTGTTGTTGTTTACCAGGTTGTAGCCCAGTGTTGTTGTTTACCAGGTTGTAGCCCAGTGTTGTTGTTTACCAGGTTGTAGCCCAGTGTCGTTGTTTACCAGGTTGTAGCCCAGTGTCGTTGTTTACCAGGTTGTAGCCCAGTGTCGTTGTTTACCAGGTTGTAGCCCAGTGTCGTTGTTTACCAGGTTGTAGCCCAGTGTCATTGTTTACCAGGTTGTAGCCCAGAGTCATTGTTTACCAGGTTGTAGCCCAGAGTCATTGTTTACCAGGTTGTAGCCCAGAGTCATTGTTTACCAGGTTGTAGCCCAGTGTCGTTGTTTACCAGGTTGTAGCCCAGAGTCATTGTTTACCAGGTTGTAGCCCGGTGTCGTTGTTTACCAGGTTGTAGCCCAGTGTCGTTGTTTACCAGGTTGTAGCCCAGTGTCGTTGTTTACCAGGTTGTAGCCCAGTGTCGTTGTTTACCAGGTTGTAGCCCAGTGTCGTTGTTTACCAGGTTGTAGCCCAGAGTCATTGTTTACCAGGTTGTAGCCCAGAGTCATTGTTTACCAGGTTGTAGCCCAGTGTCGTTGTTTACCAGGTTGTAGCCCAGAGTCGTTGTTTACCAGGTTGTAGCCCAGTGTCATTGTTTACCAGGTTGTATCCCAGTGTCATTGTTTACCAGGTTGTAGCCCAGTGTCGTTGTTTACCAGGTTGTAGCCCAGAGTCATTGTTTACCAGGTTGTAGCCCAGTGTCATTGTTTACCAGGTTGTAGCCCAGAGTCATTGTTTACCAGGTTGTAGCCCAGAGTCATTGTTTACCAGGTTGTAGCCCAGTGTCGTTGTTTACCAGGTTGTAGCCCAGAGTCATTGTTTACCAGGTTGTAGCCCAGTGTCATTGTTTACCAGGTTGTAGCCCAGTGTCATTGTTTACCAGGTTGTAGCCCAGAGTCATTGTTTACCAGGTTGTAGCCCAGTGTCATTGTTTACCAGGTTGTAGCCCAGAGTCATTGTTTACCAGGTTGTAGCCCAGTGTTGTTGTTTACCAGGTTGTAGCCCAGAGTCATTGTTCACCAGGTTGTAGCCCAGAGTCATTGTTTACCAGGTTGTAGCCCAGTGTCGTTGTTTACCAGGTTGTAGCCCAGTGTCGTTGTTTACCAGGTTGTAGCCCAGTGTCATTGTTTACCAGGTTGTAGCCCAGTGTTGTTGTTTACCAGGTTGTAGCCCAGAGTCATTGTTTACCAGGTTGTAGCCCAGAGTCATTGTTTACCAGGTTGTAGCCCAGAGTCATTGTTTACCAGGTTGTAGCCCAGTGTCGTTGTTTACCAGGTTGTAGCCCAGAGTCATTGTTTACCAGGTTGTAGCCCAGTGTCGTTGTTTACCAGGTTGTAGCCCAGTGTCGTTGTTTACCAGGTTGTAGCCCAGTGTCGTTGTTTACCAGGTTGTAGCCCAATGTTGTTGTTTACCAGGTTGTAGCCCAGTGTCATTGTTTTCTGTATTTCTCTTGCGCTTCTCCGGTGGCTTGAAGGATGGATTTGTACGTCTGTTTGCAAGTTTCAGTTACACTGTTTATCCATCTCTTTCTTGATCTTTTTTCTCACCTTCCTCCCAGATGTTCTGCTGTAAAAAGTCTCATATGCAGTTTGGTCTAGTTGCAGTCTCAATAGATGACTGAACAATTTTATTCTTTGTCTGTCAATATAATCCACATATGGTCTTATTTTAACTTTTTCTCTAATGCTGATATTTGTAACCCTGTCTCTTTTTGTGTTGTTGGTGACCTTGTGGAGTCAGTGCACTTTACATGTAGTTATTTTCTGGTAGTTAGTAGCTGGTATAGTGCCAAGATCAAAATATATAAAATGCTGATAAAACTAGTCGTTTTATATGGTTCTTAAACTTGCAGCACAACTAAAAAAAATAAACAAATCTTAATTTCACATTTTTGAAAACATTCATATGATAAATGTTTGGATCCATCAAAGAAGCAAACAGCCGGCAATGGAGAATGAGAAGCAACAACAAAATTCATAATCTGTTTGAATCACCACTAACAACCAGCATCATAAGGGCTAATAGATTGAAATGGCTGGGGCAAATTTAGAGAATGTCAGGTGATAGAGAAGTAAAATTTGTGTACACAAGGGAGTTTAATAGTCAGAGACCACGAGGCAGACCAAGAAGACGATGGAGAGATAATGTCCAGACAGACCTACAAAACTTTGTGTCACCAACTGTACAGATAACCAACCAGAGAGATGAATGGAGATGGGTGATATCTGCCACAATAAACCTCAAGGGCTCAGAATGCTGAAGAAGAAGGACAACTCTGCCAATAAACACCTTGTGTTTTATAGGACTGACATAGTTAAATATATATATGTATATACATACACGCGCACGCATGCACATACCCACACACACACACACACAAGATATAGTGTATGTGAATCTGACAAACACTTACGTATGTCACTGGTATCTGTGTCAATCTCCCCCTTTATCAGCCACAAGGCACCTCTGATATTTCTCCGCAAAACCTGGTTTTCACAGTCTTTCAAATTCTCCATGGTATTCATAAATTCAGGAAAGTCAGTTACAGTCTGACGCACACGCTTGTCAAATGAAAGGAGCCAAATACATTCAGCACACAAGGTTTGCTCTCTTGGATCATGACTTTGGAGCATCAGGACAAAACCATCCAGAGCACCATCCTCAATTATCTATGAAACAGAATGGAGAATTGCTCAATTTCTCATTGTAATGTGAGTATTTATCTGACAATTGGTTTGGGTATGAAAATAACATTTTGCTCCCATGTGAATGTTAAGCTGAGTTAAAAATTGACTTCACAGAAGAAATAAGGCACGAAACAAAATGTTTATCCTTGATGAACGTTATCAAAGAAGGAAACTAGTATGGCTTGAGCACATTTTGCAGAATACCTGATAACACTCAGGTAATGGCAGCTCTCCAGTGGATGTCAGATAGAAAAAAAAATGATGTGGATGACCTACAGAAACATTAGGAAAACCAGTAGAAAGAAAAAGGAAGGAGAGAAACTGTATGAGATACCACTGGCGGAAAAACATCCAGACTGGCAGCAATAGAGATAACTTATAAATGTTTTGTCTGTCAATAATGACATAAGGAGGATATAGAAATTGAATGGTTAACAATTACATTAACTGCCACAAAGCACTTATATATTACTGTCTGGATTTCAAGCTGTACGATAGACATGGCCAATGAGACACCTTTTTTGGGGGATGCCTAGTTGACCATGTATCTTAGTGCACTTGTATTCGTGGCGAGGCGCAGACGCCGTCTGGAGGTGACAGGTTCAATTCCCGGCACGGTAATATAGCTTTTGATTTTTATGTTAACTAGTGTGTTCTTCTATCTTTCTACTTCTTTCTATGAGTGCCGTTCACAATACTTTCTGTTACTTGATTAATTCATAATAATTAACGGCCTCAAATGGTTCCCCCCTCTGTTTATTTATATATTACCAGAACCCTTAGGGTAAACCAAGAACCGTAACACTGCAGCCTACGAGTTGATTTTGTTCTGTTGGTTATTTGAGATGTAGAGAAGTGTGATTGATAAGACAGAGTACTTGATGATGATGATTCCAAGTTTAGCACTGGTTTCTTCTGTGCAATATCCAGTGCTATGAAAAAGCCATGGTACAAGTAACATTATGACTGACATTCAAACAACAAGACTTGAAAATATATCTTCCGAATACTAGCCTCATTTTCTTTTACTCATTTTACATTATGAAACAGATCATGCCCTCATTAGCTATTTATTTTATATCAATGGTGGCCAATTTTTTTTAAATGTTTAAAGCCTACTTTTTATTTCATAAATCACAGACAGTGTATTTATTCATAGACTATAGAGATGAACTAATAAAGAAAACATAACATAAAAGTGACAAAATAAAGGCTCAGATCACCAAGAGCTTTTTCTTACAGCTTGCCCGTCGACTAGTAAAGTGTGGTCAAAGTGTTTCCCACCACTGATCTACATGTGTCAAGGTGTTGGCCACCACTGATCTACATGTGTCAAGGTGTTGGCCACTACTGATCTACATGTGTCAAGGTGTTGGCCACTACTGATCTACATGTGTCAAGGTGTTGGCCACTACTGATCTACATGTGTGAAGGTGTTGGCCACCACTGATCTACATATGTCAAGGTGTTGGCCACCACTGATCTACATGTGTGAAGGTGTTGGCCACCACTGATCTACATGTGTCAAGGTGTTGGCCACCACTGATCTACATGTGTCAAGGTGTTGGCCACCACTGATCTACATGTGTGAAGGTGTTGGCCACCACTGATCTACATGTGTGAAAATGTTGGCCACCACTGATCTACATGTGTGAAGGTGTTGGCCACCACTGATCTACATGTGTGAAGGTGTTAACCACCACTGATCTACATGTGTCAAGGTGTTGGCCACCACTGATCTACATGTGTCAAGGTGTTGGCCACCACTGATCTACATGTGTCAAGGTGTTGGCCACCACTGATCTACATGTGTCAAGGTGTTGGCCACAACTGATCTACATGTGTCAAGGTGTTGGCCACTACAGATCTACATGTGTCAAGGTGTTGGCCACCACTGATCTACATGTGACAAGGTGTTGGCCACCACTGATCTACATGTGTGAAGGTGTTGGCCACCACTGATCTACATGTGTCAAGGTGTTGCCCACCACTGATCTACATGTGTCAAGGTGTTGGCCACTACTGATCTACATGTGTCAAGGTGTTGGCCACTACTGATCTACATGTGTCAAGGTGTTGGCCACTACTGATCTACATGTGTCAAGGTGTTGGCCACCACTGATCTACATGTGTGAAGGTGTTGGCCACCACTGATCTACATGTGTGAAGGTGTTGGCCACTACTGATCTACATGTGTCAAGGTGTTGGCCACCACTGATCTACATGTGTGAAGGTGTTGGCCACCACTGATCTACATATGTCAAGGTGTTGGCCACTACTGATCTACATATGTCAAGGTGTTGGCCACCACTGATCTACATGTGTGAAGGTGTTGGCCACCACTGATCTACATGTGTCAAGGTGTTAACCACCACTGATCTACATGTGTCAAGGTTTTGGCCACCACTGATCTACATGTGTGAAGGTGTTGGCCACCACTGATCTACATGTGTCAAGGTGTTGGCCACCACTGATCTACATGTGTCAAGGTGTTGGCCACAACTGATCTACATGTGTCAAGGTGTTGGCCACTACAGATCTACATGTGTCAAGGTGTTGGCCACCACTGATCTACATGTGACAAGGTGTTGGCCACCACTGATCTACATGTGTCAAGGTGTTGGCCACCACTGATTTACATGTGTCAAGGTGTTGCCCACCACTGATCTACATGTGTCAAGGTGTTGGCCACTACTGATCTACATGTGTCAAGGTGTTGGCCACTACTGATCTACATGTGTCAAGGTGTTGGCCACTACTGATCTACATGTGTCAAGGTGTTGGCCACCACTGATCTACATGTGTGAAGGTGTTGGCCACCACTGATCTACATGTGTGAAGGTGTTGGCCACTACTGATCTACATGTGTCAAGGTGTTGGCCACCGCTGATCTACATGTGTGAAGGTGTTGGCCACCACTGATCTACATATGTCAAGGTGTTGGCCACTACTGATCTACATATGTCAAGGTGTTGGCCACCACTGATCTACATGTGTGAAGGTGTTGGCCACCACTGATCTACATGTGTCAAGGTGTTGGCCACCACTGATCTACATATGTCAAGGTGTTGGCCACCACTGATCTACATATTTCAAGGTGTTGGCCACCACTGATCTACATGTGTCAAGGTGTTGGCCACCACTGATCTACATGTGTCAAGGTGTTGGCCACAACTGATCTACATGTGTCAAGGTGTTGGCCACTACAGATCTACATGTGTCAAGGTGTTGGCCACCACTGATCTACATGTGACAAGGTGTTGGCCACCACTGATCTACATGTGTCAAGGTGTTGGCCACCACTGATTTACATGTGTCAAGGTGTTGCCCACCACTGATCTACATGTGTCAAGGTGTTGGCCACTACTGATCTACATGTGTCAAGGTGTTGGCCACTACTGATCTACATGTGTCAAGGTGTTGGCCACTACTGATCTACATGTGTCAAGGTGTTGGCCACCACTGATCTACATGTGTGAAGGTGTTGGCCACCACTGATCTACATGTGTGAAGGTGTTGGCCACTACTGATCTACATGTGTCAAGGTGTTGGCCACCGCTGATCTACATGTGTGAAGGTGTTGGCCACCCACTGATCTACATATGTCAAGGTGTTGGCCACTACTGATCTACATATGTCAAGGTGTTGGCCACCACTGATCTACATGTGTGAAGGTGTTGGCCACCACTGATCTACATGTGTCAAGGTGTTGGCCACCACTGATCTACATATGTCAAGGTGTTGGCCACCACTGATCTACATATTTCAAGGTGTTGGCCACCACTGATCTACATGTGTCAAGGTGTTGGCCACCACTGATCTACATATGTCAAGGTGTTGGCCACCACTGATCTACACGTTATTTTCCCAAATGAATGTTAAATTAAAAATCAACATCAAAGCACTTGGGACACCCCCCATAAGCGCTCCGTCCCCATCTTCAGCAGCAAGCAAAGAGTTCCAATTCTGATGGCACCAGTAACTGTCTGTATATCTATCTCGCCTTTCCTCTGAGTGTTGAGTGTCGGCTAGATCCCCTTGTAACTCCAAGCAGCATGATTCTCCCCAGACCGTAATGCGTAATGATCTATCTGTGCCTCCACACTGTTCAATTGCTCACAAAGAGCCCACACAACATACAGCTTGTCATACATCAGTTCACCACCAAGGTGGTAGGACGAATTTGGGCAATTCATAATTTCCCAAATTCTTCCTATCACAGATAGTTAACTCATAGCAGAAAATGTGGAATGCCTACAGAACCACCTAGATCAAATTTGTAACAAAGGGGAGGAATATAATATGAAAATAAACACTACGAAGACAGAGACAATGATGATAGGAAGACATAAAGACAATTTAGAAATAAAATTAAAAAACAACACCCTGAGACAAACAGAGGAATTTAAGTATTGGGGAGCAATTTTTACATCCGACGGAAAACTGGACAGAGAAATTAGCTCCAGATGTGCCAAAGCTAATCAAGTAATAGGTCAACTATCTCCCCTGTTGACACACAAGCAGATACCTCGGAGTACTAAAGCGAATCTTATCAGAACTATTTTTTTGGCCAACACTATGCTATCAATGCGAAACGTGGACACTTACATCCTCCAATGAACGTAAAATTGTGACAACAGAGACGAAATGCCTTAGAAGAGCTGCAGGAGTTTCAAGGAAAGACAGAATACGAAATCATGGAATCAGACGAATGCTAGGAATAAAGCCAGTCTTACAAGTCATCAAAGAACAACAAATGAAGTGGTTTGTACACCTAACAAAAATGCCCTGGTACTATCCACCACAGCAAGCCACACTAAAACGTTACAACGGGTATAGAGCGAGTGGAAGACCTCGGAAAATATTGAGTGATGGCATTAAGAACAGACTAACAGAAATGAACATCAGTCTTAATAGTGCTCTTGACAGAGCTCATCAACGAACATTACATCTCCCCCCGACACTTCGATGAAGTAAAAGGTGGAAGAGAAAAAGAAGACACATAGTAATTATATCAAAACTAGTTTCTCTTTAAACGCTTCAGCTTCCCAATATCCATACATTTGTTATTTTAACTATACATTTGTTACTTTAACTTCAAATGAACAAATGAACTTTATTTTCAAAGTGTTACAAATTGGGCACACAGGCCCATCTTATCTTCGGCCCTTCCAAACACTCATTTTTAACACTGCAATTTCATTTTATCAATAAAGCATGTTTGTTCATTTACAAATATACATTATATGAATGCCAAGAAAAAACATGAAAGCATGGATGGTAAATGCATGCGCATATGCACATTCACTAAGTCACTCACTCATGCATTCATTCATAAGAACATAAATTTATTCAATACATTTTATTTATTTAATTAATATATATTTAAGTCATAAACTGCCAACCTGGCAAGTTCTTGAATGAGTTCACTGAGACTTAAACCATGAAATTGTCCCTTCTGTTGGTCTTCTTGGGCCTTTAGTAACTTCTACAGAAGGAAAAAAGTAAAGGTCTTTTTTCCACACCTTTAGGCGTATAGGGCATATAGGGCTAGACTAATATGTTTATAGACCAGTCGGTACAAGATGGGTGGTGTGGTCAGCATGATGCCAGCCACCTTTACTTCCCAGGACTGCACCTGGTACCCACTCAAGGCTGGGTCGACCTGGGAGTCAAGGTCATTTTTGAAAAAAAAGTACGGCTCCATCAGGGAGTGAACCCACGACCTTCCAATCCGCACGTGAGCATTTAGCCACTATGCCATGGTGACTCCCTCTACAGAAAGAGCTGAGAAGTTTATCTGGCTGTAAAGTAGGTTATTTTCTGGTGGTATGCAAAGGTACGCAATACTGGAACCTTTTTTTAGTCATCATTTCATCAGTGCCACTGTAATAGGCATTTTATGGTTGAGTGCAGCAACTTTTTTCTTTCTTTCTGGAAAAATGAGATGACTGTCAGTCTTACCTTTGCTTTATTCAAGTCATAAACGGCCAGCCTGGCAAGTCCTTGAATGAGTTCAATGGGAGTTAAACCATGAAATTTTCCCTTCTGTTTGTCTTCTAAGGCCTTTCGTAACAAATTTATGATTTTCTTGATAATGTCTGGGGGAAAAAAAGAATGTGAAATCAGAAACACTGAATTCATATACATGTGAGGTTGACAACTTTCTGAATTTAATAATTAACTCTTTGAGCTCAAATGATTACACAGCTGATGCCCACAGGAGATACCCCCCCCCCCCACCACCCCCCCCCCCCTTTCCCACATGGAACAATGAGTGAAATACATTTAAAGAGGTGACATCAATAAACTCTGTCTTAAACATGCCCGGTTTTGCATATTAAAATATCTGGCCAGATTTCTTTTTGTTATGGCCAAATATTGAGGTTGTCATAATTCCTCAATTTTGTGGACACCTCCTCATTTCTGAGTATGTCTGAGTATCCACAAAATCAGTGAAGTTCTGTTACAAAGTTAAAAAAATCATCAAAAATTTCCCAAACAAATGTGGTGTGGTTTCTAAATTTAATTTTCCACATTTTGTGCTTTCAATGCCAGACATGGATAGTCCTAGAAAAGTAAAAATGCAAAATTACAACATGTGAGATGAGATGTATGCAAAATGTAGTGGGTAAAACAAGAAGAAACAGAGTCACCAATAAAGAACTTAAAACAAAGTTCGCACGTTACCAGTCAATGATTTCACAGAACATCAAGGAATCAAATGGTTCGGTCATCTGGTCAGAATGGAACAAAATCAGCCAGCAGCTAGAGTGTACGATATGAGAACAGTAGGCTACAAGGCAAGAGAACAACGCCAAGAAAGAGATGAGTGGAGGGAGTAAAAGAGATACTACAGAAATTTAATATTATATTAACTCTTTGAGTCCCAAGGAACGCATCATACGTTCATAGGTTCCTACCTAGAAGCACAATGAACGCGTTATGCGCCTAATTTATGACTCTATTTACTAACCCCTGGGCCTGTGATGCTAAACCCCCTGGGACTCAAAGAGTTAACACAAGCTACGCTGCTAGCAAAAGATACATATTCCTCCTGTCTAAGACAATTTGCTGCATAAGCTGTAGGACAAAAGAAGAAGAAAATCAATAAAAAATAGGAAGTTGGCACCATTTGCCTAAGACATCTCTAGGTGGGAATACCTGGTCTTAATTTTGACTTAATTAATATGGCTCTATGGATGATTGAGCATTAAACGTATCTTCTTTCTCTTCTTTTTTCTTCTTTTTCTACAACTTCTTTTTCTTCTTCTTCTTCCTATTCTTCTTGTTCGTTCTTAATCTACTTCTTCTTCTCCTTTTCTTTTTCTTCTTCTTCTTCTTCTTTTCCTCATTCTTCTTCTTCTCCATCTCCTTCTTCTTCTTCTCCATCTCCTGCTTCTTCTGTTTGGTTTCTTTATCTTTTTCTTATTCCTCTTCTTCTTCTCTTTTTGTATGTGTAGTTTACAGCACGGTTGCAAGAAATAGGCATTAACAGCACATCTTTACTGGTTCAATGGGGAATAAGCATAAGATCTGGACTACACTTGGTGAAACAAGATAGGTTGACTTTCAGTCTGGATGACACTGTCATCTTCAACATAGTAACTCTTTGCTGGCTGCTGAAGAAGAACGAACACCTGTGGGAATGTACTAAGTGCACTGATGTAAACTTCTGAATCATTCATTGATTTAACTTCTTTGACTTCAATGAAACAAAATACTTACTTGTCTCACCAACAAGTTTAGCATTGTCTTTTTCTTCCACCAAGTACACAAGAGTTAACATGGCCATAGATTTCAGGAAGTCATCACTGGAGTTTCTTAGAGCCAAAATCACCTGACAGTCATTGAAGAAATTAAAAACCCAGAGCAGAAAAGGAATAAAACAATTAGATGACAAACAGCAAGTCTCTCATTATTTCCTAGTCATTTTCTGTCAGGTCATGTGATTTTGTTCAGTTTTTAGACAGCCTGTGGTTGGTATTCATCATATGACTCCATAAGAAGGTAAGCTTTGTAGCTGCTCATAAATTTATTCTGAGAGAATTAGTGTGAGATGGTTTCCCCTTGCCTTACTTCTTCTTCTTCTAAAAGTCAATGCCATATAGCCTTGTTTGTTATAGCTCCACAACCTTCTGCTTTGGGTACTTTCAGTCAACTCTGACACAGATTATCCTCCATGCATCTTCTCTCTTAGTCTCCCTCTGCCTCTACTTCCCTCGAACTTTCCCACTGTAATAATGTCATGCAGTTGCTCCTTTTCATGACATGGTCAATGAATGTAGATTGTCTCTTTCTAATGTTTCCAATCAGTTCTCTTAATGAGTCAGTTTCTTTCAAGGCATCTTCTTTACTCCTTTTATCTGTCCAGGGTATTCCTATTATTCATATATTTAAAAAAATATCAGCAGCTTCTAAACAGTTTTGCCATAGTCTACCATCTGTCCCCAACCTCACCTTGCCCATTCATGTAATCGTATAAATAGTAAGTAAACAGTAAAGAATTCTCTTCCTGTCAGTGGACAGCGCTCATTTGGTGATAGATCCCTAATTGTATTTTACTGACTGACACTTAAAGGGTGAGTTGTCAACATCATCTGACTACCTTCACTTCTTAGTACATCTCTTGGTACCTAATTTTAGAATTCATCACATTGGGATTCATATAATCAATTTTACATAATGTCTTACTCTACCATTATAATATCACATTCATAGAGCTGCTGTAAAGAACATGAAAAATATGAGTTTGCCTAAATCAATGGTCAGAAATCTTTTCTCGACCAACAGCCTTTTTTGTATTTAAAACATTGTGGTTTTTTTGCGGTAGGTCATAAACATTTATGAACCTAAAAATTTGTTTGCTATATCTGGTCGAACATTTTAATCCAGTTGTCTTAAGAGAGTCAGATCAGCTCACTTTGCAGGTCTTATAGTATACATGGGCTAGATGATTTCCTATTCACGTTCTAAATCGTGCAGATTCTTGTACGAAATCAGTCCAATCTTTACCACCAAGACAAGGTAAATTTGCCTGTTGCTTCTTCTTCTTTGTATTCACCAGCTGTACATCCCAGCAGAAATGTTTTGGTGTTTCATCCACTTCTGGACTTGAGTATTGTTCCAGAACCTGAGTTTTCTGTACATATATATAATGGACAGAAGAAATAAGGATACACATTATGCACAGTCTAAACTTCTCATGCAACATTTCTTTGCAAGAGCAATTCATTAAACTTGTATGCTTTTACAGATAAAAATGTGAAATATAATGGCTTCACAGTCCACCTTAAAGTAGAGTCCTTTTTTGACTCAGCACCTTTTCTTTTTCATAGACACTGAGAAGAAATGGACAGAAAAACATAAAGCAGGCACTGAATTGGGAAACAAATGGATTGATAAATCAAGGACATTGAGAGAATGGGAGATCAAAGTTCTGGAGTGGATTCCATCTATGATGTAGAACACAATTTACAAAGGATAGAATGAAATGGCGGAATAGACTGAATTAAAGTGATAAAAGTACAACAATATGATCGTGTGTAGACTTGGACCCAAGACTGTTTTTCTAAGAAGTGGAAAACCCTTTCTTTATACCAGGGACCTGGCACTATAAATTTGTAACTTTGTGTTATCAACGAAGACATTTTCATTCCTCAGTTATCTTGTTGTGCCAACAAGTGCCACACAAGGGTAACAGTTGATTCCTCCATTGCATTCTTCTTCTTCTTTTTCTTGCTGCCTTTTAGCGTCAGGTTTTGAAGAGGCATTGGGTGCTAGCCTTGGTATGTGCTACATAGATACTGGTATTTACGGCCTCAGAAATTGCATCTATCCATTACTTGCATGGTCGACCTCTAGTGTGCTTCCATTGCATTCTAACCTGTGCAATAGTTGATATAGTCTATGAAGTCTAGTTTGGCATCTTTGGCCATTTTCTTCATTGCTCATCATGTGTTTTCTATTAGATTTCTTTCCCTTCTCAGCCATCTGTTTCCCATCTCGGTATCTGTTTTAAGGATTTTTTCTGTATTGTCTCAGAGTCATCATCATTATGTGCCCTGCCAACTGGCATAGGTGCTCATGCGTCTCCACAGATCACGAACCCTGGTTGCCTAGAACAGCTCTCTTGATGATATCCATCCATGTTATTATTTCAGCCCATCTAGCATCTTTTCTCTTGGTCTGCCTCTACCCCTCTTTCCACTGATATTTCCAGTTGCCACGATATTCTCCAATGTCTCTCTTCTCATTATATGGCCAAAGAACAGTGTTTGTCTCTTTCTTCTTATTGTCTCAGAGTAGACAATTGTGGATACCAGAATACGACTGTACACACAACACCCCCCCCCCCCCTTCCCAGTAATATGTGTTCCAGAAACAACAAAGAGTACACAGACAGTATGAATGTTGGAATGGCGCAGATACAAAAACACATACAAAATAACTGACCTCTGCAGTTTTCATTTCTTTAAAATGATGTAAGACACCTGCACATCTTGCAATGTTGTGTAATGTACTCATGGAAGCTTTGAGAACATAATAGACATTCTGAAACAAAAATGAGTTTTAAATTTTAATGCGTATGTACTTTTGTAACTTTAGGCTTCTAATTACACTTTTTAATACACCTGGCAATAATTTATGTCTGCTGCTGCTAATTCAGCTTTTTTTTTTGGGGGGGGGGGGGGGGGGGGGGGGGGGGGGGGTGGGGGGGGGGCACGTTTATAGTACTATAGAAAATACAGAAAATAATAGATACAAGCTTACAGAACTACAGACAATACAGAAGATAATAGATTTAAGCTTACAGAACTACAGACAGTACATTAGATACTTGATACAAGCTTACATAACTAAAGACAACACAGCTGATAATAGATACAAGCTTACAGAACTACACACAATACAGAAGATAATAGATTTATGCTTACAGAACTACAGACAGTACATTGGATACTAGATACAAGCTTACATGTCTAAAGACAATACAGCTGATAATAGATACAAGCTTACAGAACTACAGACAGTAAAGTAGATAAAAGATGCAAGCTTACAGAACTACAGACAGTAAAGTAGATAATAGATACAAGCTTACAGAACCAGTGCAGTGAGAGCTGTTATATTAACCTCTTCTGTCATATTTTTTTTTTTTTTTTTTCCTTCAATCTACAGTGTATTTTTTTTTAACTCTTTCAGGCTCCAACCTTTGCAACTTCTAAGTACCACTCTATGGGGTTGTGCAAGTACAAATAACACGTTCTGGGACAGAAAGAAGTAACAGACAAGATGACAGTAGAAGTGAAGATGGAAAGATATTCTTACCTTGCTGTGGATGTTGTCTAGGTATGCTGTATGGCCTAGATTCATAGTCAGAAGCTTCACAATACCTGATGCTGCCAGGCACTGTCCAGAAAAAATGTCTCAAACAATAGTTGATCAGTGGGTAAAAACAAAATAGAACTGGGTTAGTAATGGGGAAACAAATAACTGAGGAAACCAGTCAACATTCAATAAGATGAATTCAAGAGAGGCAAGTAAGTGAGAGAAATGTCTGGACAACTACTCTTCTAGGAGACAGAAAATATGGTTATATACTGGTCACAACCTGAGGAGAAGTAAATAGAGAATCACAACACAGGTACTGAAATGAGAAAACAAATGTGACTGTAGAAACATGTAGCCTATGTCACCGTGGAAACAAGTAGCCTATGTCAATGTGGAAACAAGAAGTCTATGTCACTGTGGAAACAAGTAGTCTATGTCACTGTGGAAACAAGTAGTCTATGTCACTGTGGAAACAAGTAGCCTATGTCACTGTGGAAACAAGTAGCCTATGTCACTGTGGAAACATGTAGCCTATGTCACTGTGGAAACAAGAAGTCTATGTCACTGTGGAAACAAGTAGCCTATGTCACTGTGGAAACAAGTAGCCTATGTCACTGTGGAAACAAGTAGCCTATGTCACTGAGGAAACAAGTAGCCTATGTCACTGTGGAAACAAGTAGCCTATGTCACTGTGGAAACAAGTAGCCTATGTCACTGTGGAAACAAGTAGCCTATGTCACTGAGGAAACAAGTAGCCTATGTCACTTTGGAAACAAGTAGCCTATGTCACTGTGAAAACAAGTAGCCTATGTCACTGTGGAAACAAGTAGCCTATGTCACTGTGGAAACAAGAAGTCTATGTCACTGTGGAAACAAGAAGTCTATGTCACTGTGGAAACAAGTAGCCTATGTCACTGTGGAAACAAGTAGCCTATGTCACTGAGGAAACAAGTAGCCTATGTCACTGTGGAAACAAGTAGCCTATGTCACTGTGGAAACAAGTAGCCTATGTCACTGTGGAAACAAGTAGCTTGTGTCACTGTGAAAACAAGTAGCCTATGTCACTGTGGAAACAAGTAGCTTGTATCACTGTGAAAACAAGTAGCCTATGTCAATGTGAAAACAAGTAGCCTATGTCACTGTGGAAACAAGTAGCTTGTGTCACTGTGAAAACAAGTAGCCTATGTCACTGTGGAAACAAGTAGCCTATGTCACTGTGGAAACAAGTAGCCTATGTCACTGAGAAACAAGTAGCCTATGTCACTGTGGAAACAAGTAGCCTATGTCACTGAGGAAACAAGTAGCCCATGTCACTGTGGAAACAAGTAGCCTATGTCACTGTGGAAACAAGTAGCCTATGTCACTGTGGAAAACAAGTAGCCTATGTCACTGTGGAAACAAGTAGCTTGTGTCACTGTGAAAACAAGTAGCCTATGTCACTGTGGAAACAAGTAGCTTGTGTTACTGTGGAAACAAGTAGCTTGTGTCACTATGAAAACAAGTAGCCTATGTCACTGTGGAAACAAGTAGCTTGTGTCACTGTGGAAACAAGTAGCCTATGTCACTGTGGAAACAAGTAGCCTATGTCACTGAGGAAACAAGTAGCCTATGTCACTGTGGAAAACAAGTAGCCTATGTCACTGTGGAAACAAGTAGCCTATGTCACTGTGGAAACAAGTAGCTTGTGTCACTGTGAAAACAAGTAGCCTATGTCACTGTGGAAACAAGTAGCTTGTATCACTGTGAAAACAAGTAGCCTATGTCAATGTGAAAACAAGTAGCCTATGTCACTGTGGAAACAAGTAGCTTGTGTCACTGTGAAAACAAGTAGCCTATGTCACTGTGGAAACAAGTAGCCTATGTCACTGTGGAAACAAGTAGCCTATGTCACTGAGGAAACAAGTAGCCCATGTCACTGTGGAAACAAGTAGCCTATGTCACTGTGGAAACAAGTAGCCTATGTCACTGTGGAAACAAGTAGCCTATGTCACTGTGGAAACAAGTAGCTTGTGTCACTGTGAAAACAAGTAGCCTATGTCACTGTGGAAACAAGTAGCTTGTGTCACTGTGGAAACAAGTAGCTTGTGTCACTATGAAAACAAGTAGCCTATGTCACTGTGGAAACAAGTAGCTTGTGTCACTGTGAAAACAAGTAGCCTATGTCACTGTGGAAACAAGTAGCTTGTGTCACTGTGAAAACAAGTAGCCTATGTCACTGTGGAAACAAGTAGCTTGTGTCACTGAGGAAACAAGTAACCTATGTCACTGTGGAAACAAGTAGTCTATGTCACTGTGGAAACAAGTAGTCTATGTCACTGTGGAAACAAGTAGCCTATGTCACTGTGGAAACAAGTAGCCTATGTCACTGTGGAAACATGTAGCCTATGTCACTGTGGAAACAAGAAGTCTATGTCACTGTGGAAACAAGTAGCCTATGTCACTGTGGAAACAAGTAGCCTATGTCACTGTGGAAACAAGTAGCCTATGTCACTGAGGAAACAAGTAGCATATGTCACTGTGGAAACAAGTAGCCTATGTCACTGTGGAAACAAGTAGCCTATGTCACTGTGGAAACAAGTAGCCTATGTCACTGAGGAAACAAGTAGCCTATGTCACTTTGGAAACAAGTAGCCTATGTCACTGTGAAAACAAGTAGCCTATGTCACTGTGGAAACAAGTAGCCTATGTCACTGTGGAAACAAGAAGTCTATGTCACTGTGGAAACAAGAAGTCTATGTCACTGTGGAAACAAGTAGCCTATGTCACTGTGGAAACAAGTAGCCTATGTCACTGAGGAAACAAGTAGCCTATGTCACTGTGGAAACAAGTAGCCTATGTCACTGTGGAAACAAGTAGCCTATGTCACTGTGGAAACAAGTAGCTTGTGTCACTGTGAAAACAAGTAGCCTATGTCACTGTGGAAACAAGTAGCTTGTATCACTGTGAAAACAAGTAGCCTATGTCAATGTGAAAAACAAGTAGCCTATGTCACTGTGGAAACAAGTAGCTTGTGTCACTGTGAAAACAAGTAGCCTATGTCACTGTGGAAACAAGTAGCCTATGTCACTGTGGAAACAAGTAGCCTATGTCACTGAGGAAACAAGTAGCCTATGTCACTGTGGAAACAAGTAGCCTATGTCACTGAGGAAACAAGTAGCCCATGTCACTGTGGAAACAAGTAGCCTATGTCACTGTGGAAACAAGTAGCCTATGTCACTGTGGAAACAAGTAGCCTATGTCACTGTGGAAACAAGTAGCTTGTGTCACTGTGAAAACAAGTAGCCTATGTCACTGTGGAAACAAGTAGCTTGTGTCACTGTGGAAACAAGTAGCTTGTGTCACTATGAAAACAAGTAGCCTATGTCACTGTGGAAACAAGTAGCTTGTGTCACTGTGGAAACAAGTAGCCTATGTCACTGTGGAAACAAGTAGCCTATGTCACTGAGGAAACAAGTAGCCTATGTCACTGTGGAAACAAGTAGCCTATGTCACTGTGGAAACAAGTAGCCTATGTCACTGTGGAAACAAGTAGCTTGTGTCACTGTGAAAACAAGTAGCCTATGTCACTGTGGAAACAAGTAGCTTGTATCACTGTGAAAACAAGTAGCCTATGTCAATGTGAAAACAAGTAGCCTATGTCACTGTGGAAACAAGTAGCTTGTGTCACTGTGAAAACAAGTAGCCTATGTCACTGTGGAAACAAGTAGCCTATGTCACTGTGGAAACAAGTAGCCTATGTCACTAAGGAAACAAGTAGCCTATGTCACTGTGGAAACAAGTAGCCTATGTCACTGAGGAAACAAGTAGCCCATGTCACTGTGGAAACAAGTAGCCTATGTCACTGTGGAAACAAGTAGCCTATGTCACTGTGGAAACAAGTAGCCTATGTCACTGTGGAAACAAGTAGCTTGTGTCACTGTGAAAACAAGTAGCCTATGTCACTGTGGAAACAAGTAGCTTGTGTCACTGTGGAAACAAGTAGCTTGTGTCACTATGAAAACAAGTAGCCTATGTCACTGTGGAAACAAGTAGCTTGTGTCACTGTGAAAACAAGTAGCCTATGTCACTGTGGAAACAAGTAGCTTGTGTCACTGTGAAAACAAGTAGCCTATGTCACTGTGGAAACAAGTAGCTTGTGTCACTGAGGAAACAAGTAACCTATGTCACTGTGGAAACAAGTAGCCTATGTCACTGTGAAAACAAATAGCTTGTGTCACTGTGAAAACAAGTAGCTTGTGTCACTGTGGAAACAAGTAGCCTATGTCACTGAGGAAACAAGTAGCCTATGTCACTGTGGAAACAAGTAGCCTATGTCACTGTGGAAACAAGTAGCCTATGTCACTGTGGAAACAAGTAGCCTATGTCACTGTGGAAACAAGTAGCCTATGTCACTGTGGAAACAAGTAGCCGCCTATGTCCAAGTGAACCCTTTAGATAAATGTTGATATAAGAGATTGAAGTTGCTGTACTGGATTCCATTGATGATATCAAAGTGACTGCACAGGATAGAAAAGAATGGGGGAATAGACTGTTAGCCCTTCATAGTGTACACTTCTTCTTCTGTGCTCATCCAAAGATGTAATTGCCTTGTGTCCGTTTACAGCATGGCTGCGATATTTGCACCTTTCAGCTAACACATCCAACTTCTGCGGGCATTTGTTGACAGGGTTAGCCTTCCCGGTGTAGTTTATACATAACACAATAAAATGATGATGATGAATTAGTAATGACCAGGGCTTTCTTTCTGCACAAAAAGTAAAATTACCCACCTCAAAGTGTCTTATAAAGGTGCTGGTACCCACCTCAAAGTGTCTTAAAAAGGTGCTGGTACCCACCTCAAAGTATCTTAAAAAGGAACTGGTACTCTAGACCCTATTTCCCCATCCTTAGTTTTCTTGTTTTGCCACACTAATATTACCTTTACGGTATTGTGTACATTAGAGTCCCATGTAGTCTCTTCATAGTTAGAGTATATTTGTGTATGTATACTGTATGGTTTTTTATGTGCTGATGAAGGCTTATCGCCGCAACGTCCTTTGTTTGTTTATTGTGATCGATTTTGTAAAGCTAACATAAAC